TCCCACCCCAAGCACAGAGTTTTGGTCACTTACTCTCCTTGCCTTTCTCTTTGTTTTTCAGCTGCTGCAGTTTCTGCTCGCGGTGCTGCTTCTCCAGCTCCTGCTCCTGCCGGTGCTGCTCCAGCTTCCTCTGGTGCTCCAGCAGCTCCTGCTGGTGCTTCATGGCCAGCATCTCCTGCTGCTGCTGCGGGGAACGGGACAAAAAGGACACGTCAACATCCTGGTTTTAAATAAAACCCCAGTTCTGGCTGAATTCCTGGAAAAAATCCCAAAAAAACCCACCCCAGGGTACCTCCATTATTTGTGGCACCCAGAAGTTGAGGCTGCTCCATCCCTGGAAGTGTCCAAGGTGAGGTTGGAGCACCCTGAGATAGGGGAAAGGTGTCCCTGCCATGGTGGAACAGGTCTGTCTTAAACCATGGGATAATTATAAAAAATAATTGCCTCGATATATTAAAAAAAAAATTAAAATCCCCCAATAAGTTCTGCAGGAAGGATTCACCCCAGCCCTCTGCAAGCTCATGGTAATAATCAACAATAATTAGACAGTTCAGGAAACAGCTCAAGAATAGTTCAGGAATAGTTCAGGAACAATTTAGGAACAGCTCAGGAACAGTTCAGGGACAATTTTGGAACAGTTCAGGAACAGTTCAAGGAACAGTGCAGGAACAGGTCAGGGAATAGTTCAGGAACAGCTCAGGAACAGCTCAGGGACAATTTAGGAACAGTTCAGGAACAGCTCAGGAACAGTTCAGGGAACAGTTCAGGAACAGCTCAGGGAAGAGTTCAGGGAGCAGTTCAGGGAACATTTCAGGAACAACTCATGGAACAGTTCAGGGTCCTGCTCTCTCCAGAAACACCTCAAACCATCCTCACCCAAACCCTGCACACACCACACTYCCACCYYGCAGTTCTTCCTTCTCCCAGAGCTYGTTTTCCTTTTAAATSCCTTTARYTGCGGGTTTTGGGGTGCCCTGTGCAGGACTGGGTGGTCTTTGTGAGTCCCTTCCAAATCAGGATTTTTTGGGATTCTCTGATTAATATGCAGTTGCATTCTCACACCCAATGCTTCAGCCAYGGACGCAGCACAAACAAAATTACACCATCCCATATGAAGATCCTGTATAAAATCCTATATAAAAATGCCCCAAAACCCCCGATGTAAGAGGTATTTACAATCTGCCCGGCTATCTGCTGGAAACTCTCCATGGAGGAATCCCAAAACACTGAACACCAGGAAAAAAATTAGGAAAAGAAAAATCAGAAAAAAAAATCAGGAAAAAATCAGAAAAAATAATCAGAAAAAAAACAGAAAAAAAAATCAGAAAAAAACCCAGAAAAAAATTAGAAAAAAAAGAGAAAAAACTAATCAAAACCCCAGCAATCTGCAGCCACTGCACCTCTGCTCCCCTTCCTAATTCTGCCGGATTAAACGCAAACCACCAAAAATCCACGCTCAAAAAAAAACCCACAAAAAAACCCTAAAAAAGGAGGGAGGAAAAAAATAGATGAAAAGCAGTTATTTTTGTTTTCTAATGAAGCAGCAGCTTCTACTAACACGTCTCCATTTGGGGAAAGAGTCGCTTTTTTCCTGATTTCCAACAAGTCCACCACATGGTGGGCTCTGACTATGCAAATGAACAATATTGAGTGCACAATATGGCAAAGCAGGTTTTGTTATTTTCTGCTGGAATCAGGAGCCTTTTCTCTCCATCTGCAGTCTCCCAACCCCGAATTCCTGCGAGGGTTTGCACACATTGGGCATGTGGTTTTTCCCAATAGTTTCCAAGTTGGGGGGAAAAAAAAAATTGGAAAAAAAAATTAAAATTAAATAATGAAACCACGTCTCAGATTGTATCTGTGAAAAGTGAAATCTCTCTTGGTGGCTGTTGTAGTTTGGGACAAAAAGGACAGAAAAGGACAGAAAATATACCCAGGTGTCTTCTCAGGGAATGATTTCTTATCAGGAATGTTGTGGGGGAACAGAAATTCAGGGTGGCTTTTAGGGAAAGGTTCTGGGCATTGCCCAGGCTCCCCAGGGAATGGGCACAGCCTCAGAGCTCCAGAGGTGTTTGGAAGTGCTGCCAGGGATGGGATTGTTAGGGTGTCAGAAAAAAACCCCCAAAAATCTTAAAAAAAAAATTTAAAAATCAGAAAAAAAATCAGAAAAAAATCAGGAAAAAATCAGTAAAGAAGTCAGAAAAAATCAGAAAAAAATCAGTAATAATCAGAAAAAAAACCCCAGAAAAAACATCAGTTTTTGATCAATTTAAAGCAATCAAATCACCCTGGAACAGGTGTTGCCCACTCTGGAAGAGTCCCTGGAAGATTTTCACTCCCTGGAACCAAAGGAATGACCCCAGACCTTCACCCCATCCTGTCCACCCCATCCTGTCCACCCCGTCCTCCTCCAGCCCCCACCAGAAGGACAAACAGAAAAGATTTTGGTGCCTCCCAGCTGATGGAGTGACTCGAAAAGGAAAGAATTCCCTGCCAAAGGTCAGGAGGAGCTCCCAGAGAGGCTTTGCACCGCCTCACCGCACAGCCAGGCTCCTCCTTCCGCCCCTGCAGGGTTTAGGGGGAGGTTTGGAGGRCCATAAATATTGTCCTACGTCTGGAAAGGCACAGGGCAGTGGAAAATGCGTCTGGATGAGGGTGAGTAGCCGCAGCACACAGGAGCCTCTAGCCCCCGTCCCTCTCCCAAGGCAATCTGCAGAGCTGCTCTGGAGCTGTTAGGGAACAGCTTCTCCCTCTCTTTGTGGTGTGCAGCCTTCAAAAAGCTCGGTGAATTTTCCCCAAACACRTCAGGGTGTCCACAGGATCGCCACAGAGTGGTTGGGGTTGGAAGGGACCTTCAAGCTCATCCCATCCCAGCCCCAAGCTGTGGGCAGGGACATCTCCCACTACCCCAGGCTGCTCTAAACCCCACCCCTCCGTGCTGATTTCTTCCTGAGATCCACCCTAAACTCACTTCTTTCGGTTTAAAGCCATTCCCCCTCAACCCCTCCCTCTCCATGCCTGAGTTTTCTCATTTTCTCATTCTCCCACTCCCCACTGTACCAAGCTCCGTGTCCATTCCCACAAATATTTTTTTTCCCCTCATCCCCTGGCTCTCTCCAAACTGCACCACCTTGGGGAATTTGGCACTTTCACGTGAAAAACCAGAACGTGATGTCTGTAAAAGCAGGGATGGGATGTAAGGATGTGATCCCAGGGAAAGGATCCCGTGTGGGGGCAGTCATCGCCTTCTCCCCCTGCACTGGCTCCGATGACCCAAACCRAGCTGGTGGAAGCAATCCCGAGCTCTGGAAAAAGCCAGAGTCCAGCTTTCAGTAGGAAAAAYTTATCTGCTGGGACAGAAAAACAGGAGAGCCCTGCCAGCGTGTTCCATCCCTCGCTGGAATGTTCCCTGCTCGCTTTGGGGTGCGATGCGGGGTGCCCCTGTCAGCTCAGGACAGTTCCTCTGTCCCCACCAACACCAGGAAATAAGGAAAATAATAAATAAAGAAATAATAAATAAGGAAAGGAAATAAATCAGCCCTAAACCACGATGGATCCTAGAGCAGCAAGGTTTAACAATATCACAGAATCCCAGAATGGTTTGGGTTGCGAGGAGACTTAAAGCTGATCCCATTCCCAGACCCTGCTCATGCCTGTGTAGACATRGAAWAAAAAAAAAAAAAAAACCAGATTAAAAAAAAAAACACATAAACTTCCCCATAAAGAGCTGTGCACCTTCACTCAGGATATTTCTASACCGCASTGCAGTGCCCAGTGCCTCACCTGAAGACAATAAATGGGTTTTATTTGCTTTATCAATCCCGCCCTGCTCTGTCTGTGAGGCCTGAAGGAGCTGGGCAGCTCCCAGCCCAAATGTGAAGTTACAGATTTTAATTCTCAAATTTAATTCAAATTTTATTTTTTTTTCTGCCCTTACAGCCCCTGCACTTCACAGAGTTGTCACCTGGATGAAGGCTGACTTCTGAACACACAGACAAGCACGATGTTTTCCTGCACCGGGGTGGGGTTTGGGGTTATTTTACACCACGGGGTTGATTTTTTGTTTGATTTTTGAAGCAATTTTGACACCAGAGATCACCCTGCCATCCAGGGCTATCCCAACCCTGTTTTAAGGCTCTTACTGAGCCAAGCTCACTCAGGAGATGAGGAATTTCATTACCCAGCGGGACGGATATGTCACAGTTTCTCAAAATCAGCTCAGCTRGTTCTGAGCAGAGTCAGAGTTTTAACAAAAATGAGAGCAAATTTGTTCCTATCCCCCTGCTTTGGGTTTSGCTGTTAAATGGGAAGGAGCCTGCCTGATTTGTCACAAATAACCACAAGGGAATAATAGAAATCCCTGTCACAGAAATCCCCATCCTTTCCCCCTCATGCCAAAACGTGTGAGCACAGAAACATGGGGGGGCACAAACATTCCAAACACTCCCAGAGATGCATTTACACCCCAATTAAACAAATTATAAATAAACACATTTATCCAGATAAATTTATTCACACCTGAGCACCTCGTCACCTCTGCCCTGGTGACAGCAGGGAGGGACTGAGGTGTTTGGGGTCAACAGGGACACCCCACAAACCCYAGCACTGCAAACTCTGTCCATAAAACCCCGTTAACTGTTAATCCCACTCTGATATYCACTCTGAATTCAAAATAAAGTTACATAAGGTGGAATCGAGGTTGCTTTTTAATATTACATTAAGGCTATTTACCATGTGAAGCACTAATCCCCCTTTTGGAAAAAAAAAAGCAGCAATTGGGAAAGCTTTCRTTGCCATGGCAATAGTCAGAGCTGGGAAATATTTATATAATGCCAATTTTTCACCCTGCAATGGCCACTTTCCAAACTGGACCTCCCAGTGACCCTCACTGGTGATTCCTCACTGAACCAGGGGTGGCACAGCACCTGGCTGGTGCCCAGCCAGGAAAAACCTGAAGGTTCTGATTCCTCATCTGGAAAAGCTGAAGGTTCTGATTTCAGAAATGAAAAATCTGAGCATTGTGATTTTACATCTGAAAAATGTAAAGGCTCTGACTTCAGATCTGAAAATTCTGAGGGTTATAATTTCTGATCTGAAAAAGCTGAAGGTTCTCTGCTTTCAGATCTGAGAAATCTGAAGGTTTTCTGATTTCAGCTCTGAAAAATCTGAAGGTTTTCTGAATTCTGATCTGAAAAGCTGAAGGTTCTGATTCAGAAATGAAAAATCTGAAGGTTCTGATTGTTGATCTGAAAAATCGGAGGGTTGTGATTGTACATCTGAAAAATCTAAAGGTTCTGACTTCAGATCTAAAAAATTGGAAGGTTCTGATTTCAGATCTGAAAATTCTGAGGATTATGATTTCAGTTCTGAGGAAGCTGAAAGTTCTCTGCTTTCAGATCTGAAAACTCTGAAGATTCTGATTTCAAATCTGAAAATTCTGAACGTTTTCTGATTTCAGATCTGAAAAATTGGAAGGTTCTGCTTTCAGAGCTGAAAATCTGGAAGGTTCTGCTTCCAGATCTGAAAAACCAGAAGATTCTGACTTCAGGTCTGAGAAATCTGAACATTCTACTTTCAGATATAAAAAATCTGAAGGTTCTGACTTCCAATCTGAAAAAAACTGAAGGTTGTGACTTCAGAWCCAAAAAATCTGAATTTTCAGCTCTGAGAAATCTGAAGGTTTTCTGCTTTCAAATCTTTAAAAACTGAAGGTTCTGCTTTCAAATCTGAGAAATCTGAAGGTTCTCACTTAAGAGCTGAAAAAATTGAAGGTTCAGATTTCAGATCTGAAAATTCTGAAGGTTTTCTGATTTCAGACCTGAAAAACCTCACGGTTCTCACTTCAGATCTGAAAAAGCTGAAGGTTGTCATTTCAGATCTGAAAAGTCTGAAAGTTCTGCTTTCTGATCTGGAAAATTTGAAGATTCCAAATTCAGATCTGAAAAATCTGAAGGTTCTGCACAACAGAGATACGAAGAATAAAAAAGGGGGGGATGCACATTAGATGGGGTCTGTATTAGGGGATTTGGGGAGTCTGCCCCTCTACAGTCCCTCAGCAATGGGGAAAGAGAGGGAAATTGGGATAAAAAGTAGGGAAATCTGGATAAAAAGGAGGGAAATTGGGATAAAAAGGAGGAAAATTGGGATAAAAAGGAGGCTGCACCCTCCAGCAATTTGTGACACCCCATGGAAATGTCCCGTGGCCTCTCCCTTTATTCGAATAAAGTCACAGGGCTCCTCTGCCTCCCTTTTTGGACATTAAATAAATAAATAAATAAATAGATTTTCTGGACATAGAAAATATATAAATTAACTTTTTGGACATAAAATAAATAAACTTTTTGGACACCGAAAATAAATAAATAAATACAATGTCTGTGCATAATAAATAAAGAAATAAAATGTTTGGGCATAATAAATAAATAAATAAGTAAACTTTTTGGACATACTAAATAAATAAATAAATAAATAAATAAATAAATAAGATTTTGGACACAAAAAATAAATAAAGAATAAACTTTTTGGACAAAAAAATAAATAAAAAGTAAACTTTTTGGACACAAAAAATACACAAATAAATAGACTTTTGGTACCTACATAATTAAATAAATAAATAAATGAACTTTCTGGCCATGAATAAATAAATAAATAAATGAATAAATAAATAAATAAATAAATAAATAAACTTTTTTGACAGAATGGAAAATAAAATAAACAAAATATTTAAAAAAAAAATTAAAAATCAAAGATTTGTGGATTAATTTTCCTTACCTTGATGTGCTCGTGCAGCTGCGCCTCGTGCTGCCGGGACAGCTGCTCGTGCTGCCGCTGGAACTCGGCGATGAGGATCTGCCGCTGGATCTGCTGCTTCTGCTTGAGGGCCAAGAGCTCCTGCTGCAGCTGCTGCTCGCGCAGCGCCGGCTCCGCCACCGGCACCGGGAACTGCGGCTCCAGGCGCAGCTCCATCGGCACCGAGCCGGGCGCCACTTGCAGGGGCAGCGCCGTGCTCACGTCAACTGCGGGGAGAGCGAGATGGTCAGGGGAGAGCATGGCACCAGGGGTGGGGAGAATGGGAATGGGGTCAGGGGAGACTGAAAATGGGACCAGGTGTGGGGGAGAATGAGAATGGGGTCAGGGGAGACTGAAAATGGGACCAGGGGTGGGGGAGAATGGGAATGGGGTCAGGGGAGAAAATGGCACCAGGGGTGGGGGAGAATGGGAATGGGGTCAGGGGAGAAAATGGCACCAGGGATGGGGGAGAATGGGAATGGGGTCAGGGGAGACTGAAAATGGGACCAGGTGTGTGGGAGAGCAAGAGACAGGTCAGGAGAGTCTTGAAAATGGTACCAGGTGTGGGGGAGAACGAGAATGGGACTCAAAAATGGCACCAATTGTAGGGGAGAATGAGAGACAGGTCAGGGAGACTCTAAAATGGTACCAGGTATGGGGAGAATGAGAGACGGCTCAGGGGAGACTCGAAAATGGGACCAGGTGTGGGGGAAAATCAGAATGGGACTCAAAAATGGCACCAGTTGTAGGGAGAAAATGAGAGCAGGGTCAGGGGAGACTGAAAATGGGACCAGGTATGGGGGAGAATGAGAGATGGGTCAGGAGAGACTTGAAAATGGTACCAAATGTGGGGGAAAATGAGAATGGGACTCAAAAATGGGACCAGGTGTGGGGGAGAATGAGAGACGGGTCAGGGAGACTCGAAAATGGCACCAGTTGTGGGGGAGAATGAGAATGGGACTCAAAAGTGGTACCAGGTATGGGGGAGAATGAGAGCAGGGTCAGGGGAGACTGAAAATGGGACCAGGTGTGGGAGAGAATGGGAATGAGACTCAAAAATGGCACCAATTGTAGGGGAGAATAAGAACGGAGTCAGGGTGAGCCCCATCCCAGTGGAAATCTTGGATTGAATTGAGGGCGGCACCATGGAACTCACACTGTGCTTTTATGGGTAAAAAGTCCTACAGGAATTATGGGATCCACGGGTTTTCCTCCAGGCACCACCCCCTACAGACCCTACAAGCGAAGAGCCTTGGACACTGCCAGRGATCCAGGGCCAGCCCCAGCTGCTCTGGAATTCCATCCCAGCCCCTCCCAGGGAACAGTTCCTTCCCAAAATCCCATCCATCCCACCCTCCGGCAGTGGGAAGCCAGAACCCCTCTGCAATAACCGAACTCAGCTCTTTTCTCCTAAAAACCACAAATCACTGCCACCCCATGAACGACTGAAAACCTTCCAAAATCCACCTGAGTGACAGCTCTGCTTTTCACATTTCCAATATTTGCTGTCTCTCTCTCTAACAGAACAATCCCTCAACAACTCTGCTGAGAGCTCTGACCCCAGAATTTTGAGGCTGAACCCTCAAAAACACCAAGCTTCGGCAAAACTGGCAAACAAAGGATGTTTTTTTTCCCTCCTTCTCCTCTGCCAGGACATTAATCTTCTCCACATTAATCTTCTCTGTCCCAGGGAAAGCCTTTTCACAGAGTTTTTCCCCARTTCTCTCATGGAGCACAAGAGGAGGAGGAGGAAACTTTTTGGATGGAAACATTTCCAGCAAAAGGTCACATTGCTGGGAGTGCTGCTCCTTTTCCACCCACRAGCTCTTCCCTCCACTTCCCTCTCGTTTTCCTCCCTGCGGCCTTTTCCTCTGCTCCAACCCAAACCATCMTGTGACCCTGTGGGTTCCTGAGCCCCAAAGTCCTTGGGCACTCCCAGGGATCAGGGATCCCACAGCTTCTCTGGGAATTCCATCCCAGCCCCTCCCAGGGAACAATTCCCAATTCCCAAAATCCCATCTAAACCTCATCTCTTCCAGTTTAAAGCCATTCCCTGTGTCCTGTCCCTCCAGCCCTTGTCCCCAGTCTCTCCTGGAGCCCTTTAGGTCCTGGAAAGGGCTCTGAGGTGTCCCTGGATCCTTCCCTTCTCCAGGTGAGCACCCCAAACCCTCCCAAGCATCCAAACCCCAYCCCAGTTCCAAGCAGGAGCACCTTGGGATCGATTCCTCCTAAAAAACAGCCCTGAAAAACCCCAAAACWCCCATTTCCCCCCCAAAGGGACCCATTCCCCCGAGCCAGGGGCATAGCTGCAGGGACGGGGAGCACAAATCCCATTCCAGGAGCACAATTCCCATTTTAGGGGCACAATTCCCRTTTCAGGGGCACAATTCCCATTCCAGGGGCACAATTCCCATTCCAAGAGCACAATTCCCCTTCCAGGGGAGCACAATTCCCATTCCAGGGGCACAATTCCCATCCTAGAGGCACAATTCCCATTCCAGGAGCACAATTCCCATTCCAGGGGCACAATTCCCATTCCAGGGGGGCACAATTCCCATTCCAGGGGCACAATTCCCATTTTAGGAGCACAATTCCCTTTTTAGGAGCACAATTCCCATTCCAGGGGCACAATTCCCATTCCAGGGGAGCAGAATTCCCATTTTAGGAGCATAATTCCCATTCCAGGAGCACAATTCCCATTCCAGGGGCACAATTCCCATTCCAGGGGCACAATTCCCATTCCAGGGGCACAATTCCCATACAGAGTCTGCGTCATCGCCCACTCCCGGCTATTTCAGGCTCGGGTAAATCTCTCCCTCCTGACCCACAGAGGGTACAGCCCGGCCCTGTCTGCTCAGCCCCACAACAAAAACCCCCTGTTTTTCCCAGTTCCAGGGAATCCTGCGTGGCACACTCCAAAAGTGCTTTTCTAGGTCCTGCCTGCACAATGGCAGCCGTGACGCAGCCCGGGCACAAAGGGGACATTCAGCCCCACCACGAGAAATGCCAAAGCCATGAATTAGGAGAGCAGACCCTGATTATGAATAATCAGCTATCTCACGCTCTCCTCCTGCTTTTCTTCCTTATTTTTTTTTTTTTTTCGTTTTCCTTTTTTCACCCTTGGCATATTTAGGGAATTATTTTTTTTCCCCCCTGTGGTCAAGTTAGCCTGATTTTGATTCCACGCTCAAGTTATGATGATTTTTATACTAAATTAGAACCCCTCTGCTGGTGCTTCCCTTCCCAAATAAATAAAACATGGCTGGGCATCAAAGGCAACGCTTGCACGAGTTAATTAAGACCTAAAGCACTTCAGTCCCCATCGATTGCTGCTGGAAATGGGAAAATTTTAAAAACTTAATTTAATTTTGACATCTCACAGCTCGTCTGCAGCACACTGAGCGGAAAAACCCAAAATGCAGGGGTATAAAGTGACAAAATATACCCTGGAAGCAAAAGTGCACATCCCACAAAAACCGTGGAGAGGTTTGGGTTGGAAGGACCTTAAAGCTCAWCCAGTTCCACCATCCYAATGTCCAGCCTGGCCTTGGACACTGCCAGGAACCCCCCAGCCCTCCCAGCCTGGACCCACCAGAAAAATTAAAACCATTTCCCACAAAGACATTCTCAGGGAAGTTGTGTGTTGGGATTGTTCCACGCTCCAAAATGGAAAATAACTTCTCCATCAGTCCTGAGCGTTTCGGAAGGGTTTAGGGGAAGGTGACACTAAACCTGTGAATGCACATTTCAATAAAATTCACAACAATAATCGAATTTTCTTCCCCTTCTCTGAGACAGCATTTTCACGCTGGTCTTTAAAGGATGGAAATTCAGCACCGACAACACACCAAAATGTTGAACCCAAAGCGCAGCRTGAGAGACGCCAAATGAGTATTTAAATTCAAACCTTGTTTCAGCATAACCTTTACCTCAGGTTAATTTAAAAAATATTCACAGAATCACAGAAGGGTTTTGTCAGAAGGGACCTTGAAAACCATCACATTCCAACCCCCTGCCAYGGGCAGGGACACCTTCCACCAGACATCAAACTGGGTTTTTAAAAAACCAAATGCTGCTGTCAGAATCAYTCTTTTTTCCTTTTTTCTTTTTTTYCTTTTTTTTTTCTTTTTCTTCTTCTTTCCTTCCTTTTTTTTTCTATAATTTAAATTAAAGCAGCACAGAAAACTGCTTCTCTCATTTGAAACCCAACATCCCCTTCAAAGGGAAAGCGCAGGAAATGCTTTCCCCGAGCTCAACTCAAACAGCTCCTTCCCAGCTCCTCTTTTTACAGCAATTCCCTTTGGGGAAGGAAAGAAAAAAATCACACCAGCCACCCCAATTCTGCTGCAAATCCCTGGGGATGAGAGCCTGGGGAAAGCTGGAGGAATAAAGCAGCTCCCACTCTGGGACACACCATGACAGAGAGATTCCCAARATCAGGAGGAAAGAGCATTCCAGCTCCTCCCAAACTGGAGATGCCTGCTTGACCCTTTAAAGAACTTTCCAGCCCTTTCCAGGGCTTCATTCCCAGCTAATGAGTTTGCTCTTTAATTAGTGGTGCCCTGGGGCCAGGCTGTGCCTGGAGCAAACACAAAGGATGTGCTCAGTGTCCCAAACTCCTCCTGGGACCATCCCCACCCCATGGGATCAGCGCCTGGATCTGCCCCTCTCAGCCTTCTCGACAGCTCTTTCACCCCTGGGGAAATGCAAATTTAAAAAATCACATTTATTATTTCCTGATTTGATTCCTCAGGGGTGCTCTCGGTGGTCAGCAACCGTTTGGAAACATTTAAACACCGAGATGCTGCCAGCAGGAACAACTCTGGCACGATGCTGGCCCCATGGAGCACTATTCCTACAAACCCATCGGCCCCGTTTTCCCCAGAATCTGCCCCAAAAGGGAGGCAAGAGCCACTGCTGGCTCTGAGCACACCTGGGCTGGTTTATTCTGGCAGGAAATGTGTGTCAGTCGAGCATGGCTGCATTACTGTGAATTAAATCATTCCCACCCCGGCAGCAGGAACACTGGGATCCCCTCTTGTCACCCCGTGCACCCAGGAATCCTTTTCCCACATCCCAAAGGGTCCCAACGCCCCGAAACACTGYGAGACGATGAGATCAGAGCTATAAATAGCAGCAGGCTCTGCAGAATCTGACTGCAGTGCTGGGGTTTTGTGGGGAAGAGGAACAGAGCCCTTGGAGCTGGCTCCATCTCCAGCATTAGGGT